TGGACTGTGAAACCAGTGAGTAAGACATTTCACATCCGCTAAAATGAAGAGGCGGAAGTAGGTACGGACGAAAACTCCCTGGATGCATAAATAATCAAATTTTCTTACCCATGGTGCTCCGATGCTCGCAAAAGAGCTCCTCTATTATCTACATACTGAGATATGCTCACTGAAAAGTTCGTGATTCACTATTTTAAAAGTCTCAATGGCCTTCTTTGTGAGCCTATCTAAGCAATTACCCTTTTGAAAAAAATAGTCAGATTAATCTGACAATTAACCCGGCCAGGTTCATGTGTCCGTGGCGATTTCTTCAGTTGATACTGGAACGAATCTTATGCGACACAATCTACTTTTCACTTATTGTGAAAGCGGTTTTCAGCATCAATCACATGTTTGCGTGCACGTCCTAACCATTAGTTACTGCTAGTATAAAATTTCCGTCTCAAATTAAGTCAAACTCCATGGTTTTAAAAATGTTTTTCATAATTTAACTGTAACCCACAGATGAGAACCTGCTATATCTTAATAGAGAGGGAGGGCTTATTAACTTTCTTCCCCTGAAAAGGGGGGGGGGGGCTTATTAGAGGGAGGGGGCTTATTTGATCGGGGGGGGGCTTAATAGAGGATTTACGGTTAGGAAATCACTCAAAATAGGTACAATATTAAAAGAAGTTGTTGTCGTATTCGTCTGATATTACTTGGTAACTGATGCAGTCGTTTGTAAATCCTTCGCTCTGTCGTCCAAGTGAACGTAAAACTGTGAAAGGTTTGAACCTAAACAACGTTTTTAGTAAAAACAACTACAACGCGAACTTTGTTAGACGAAAAACTCACCGTAACGCCGATTCCTACACTCAGACGTCAGCTTTGGCCCTGTTACGACAGCGACTATACCCTACATTAGCGTTACCGCTGAAGCTATCGCTCGTACACTACCTCCTTACAACATATGCGTTGCACACAGACCAATAGGCTGATTTAGCAAACAGAACCGGAACGTCATTTGACGACGGGAAAGCGCGCAGTAAGGACTAAACTCGACTTCCGGTGCCTAATTTGCCGCTGTGCCATTGGTCGCGCCAGTTGTTGGATTTGCGCGAGCCGTCCTCAATTGACGTTCCCGTTCTGTTGCTAAATCAGCCTAATAACCGCTTTACGACGACTAGTTATTAATGTAAAGGACAACGACAAACCGGAGGACAGACAGGGAGCAGTATATAAGATCAAATGATGCGACTGCCAGGCTAATTACAATTTCGTGAAACCGGCAGAAACCTCAGCACGCGACGGACTGAAAACAAACGACAGGACGCAACAACAGTCCTATTCAGGACTACGTTCCCCCGGAAGATCATGCTTAACCTACTTATGATACTAACGTCTGATGGTATCTTTGATATCTTCTTAAGCCCTAATGAGCTATTTGAATCAAATAGTCCATTCATGAGAAATATGTTGTATGTGAAAGATTTGATTAAACCAATAAAGACACCTTCACCGTCCCTGTAAAAGCAAACTTATTCTAATTTAAAACTAGAAGGAGTATATTTGTTGTAAATAAGATTAAAGGCACTAAATTTCTATCATATTTAGCTTGGGACTGGGAATGGCAGAGAGACATAAGAACATTACGACACGCCGTCCCACATTTGAACTTGGCTGCGTTTGATTCAATTGTACCGTGGATATTCAACTTACTGCCGCCTCTTACCTTCTGTGTCCAAAATAACACCTTCCTCCGCGGCGGAAGCATCTTCCTCTTCTTTCTTTATATGCGCTTTACTATTCATAGCTATCCCGTCTGGCTTGGCAGTTGGTTCTTGGTTCAGCTCTTCACCAGTTAATATACTGTCGTTGTTGCTGTCTGATGTCTTCATAGCAAACTTGTTCATTGGACTATGGTCAATCACGGCTGCGCTTTTTATGTATGTTTCAACGTAATTTCCATCACGCGCCCAAGATTCTGAAATAAATAAGAAAAGCAAACTGACAAAGAAACAAGCAGACAAATAAATAAGGAAAGAAAGAAAGAAGAGGAGAAGAGGAAAGCTTATATAGAATGGGAGAGAATAAAGGATGATGGGACTAGATGGAAAGAGAAGCAAGAGAAATGCCTCTATATCTAGAACGTTCTTATCTAGAACATTGCCTCTATACCTAGAACGTTGTAGAATTACCCGGTAAATACTGGTCAAAAAAGGCAACATATACGCAAGTCATAACATTGCTGGTCGCAGTAGAATTAACCCTCGGATGTACAAGGGGGTTGGTTGCCAACCCCCTCTGAGGATTTTCTGAGTGTTTTCCTAGACGATAAAACATCAGCACCTGACGTTTTCAGTTGCTGTTTGTTTATCTCTTGGACACATTGGAGACAAGTTTAGTGGTGATCAGTTTCTACGGTTACGAGACGTCATAAGTAACAGGTAATCAAACCATTTTTGAGTAAAAATGAATGTTTTTTCAACTTTTTTCAACAATAACAGTAAAGATTGTGGATAAAATGATGCAAAATGCTAATTTATGTGTTATTTTACATTTCGAGCACAAAAAATACCATTTCTTGCGGTTTTAATCTGATTTCTAATACTTGGTAAAATACAAAATGGCAGCAAAGATGGCGATCATTGTTGGTGACGTCACAGGCCTCCAGGAACGCTACCACCTATAAAATATACAGTCAAACCTCTTTAATGCAGACACCAAAGGGACAGAACCAATTGCCCGCTTTACAGAGCTGTCCGTATCATAGGGGTAGGGAATGTATGATTTTTGGCATTTCTGAAACCAAACGAACTGTCCGTAATAGAGAGGTGTCCGTACTATAGAGGTGTCCGTAAGGAGAGGTTACACTGTACCTCATCTAGTTGAGAAAGGCTTTCTATTGAAGGCAAATCGTTCCGAAATACTGCAACAAATCAAAAACTCTAGGGAGGGGTTCCATCTCCTCCTCCCTCCATTTGTACCAGGTGGGGGTATGAATTTGCGTGTACGTCCGAGGGTTAAAGTAAATAAGGATTATGCAGTCTTCCCATCACTCCTTGCGGCAATTTTTCGGGGTTTTTCACGTGTAACGTGGCCATTTTGGATGCATCGTGAGCGTCGGAGATGATTTTTCGGCCTTTCAAGAGAGCTTATTTGACGGCTTGAAGTAAGTTTGTTTTGTTTCATTCCTTTTGATTGGCACTAAATTGTTAAACTGAGCGAATTTTCAACGCCATTAATGCATAATTAAATGCCTTATTTTCACGGTTGGGTACTGGGTACTTCAAGAAATGTGTTACTTTCCTGCTACAATAGTCGAAGTTCTGTGCAACCCATTATAATTTTTGTAGAGAGGAAGGGATATAATTTCAAGGAATGGCAATGTACCTCGTTGTACCTCAACTCAAAAATCGACCGGCTATTTTTTATCTTTTGGCAGATGACCGTGCGACTTCTCGAAGTTGCCACTTTAATTAAAAAAAAAAAAGAAAAAAGAAAAGCACAGGATACTTCGGCGCAGACCCACCATAAAAATTAGGCTTCAAGAATTATCTCTTTATATAACTAGAATAATCAGTAAAACATATTTTCAAATATTTTTAGTAGCTGCGTATCGAAAAGTTCCCAAAAATTCACCGAAATCTCACGCAGAAGTGATGTGCGTAATGTGATAAAAGTCAACTTGGATGCTGTAGTCTCACGATCGTATTTTGAGCCAATTTTATGAATGAACAAACACAACACAATAGACAGACAAATGATTCCTCGAAAATTTGTATTGAGAAAAATCCATTACTTAATCCTTAAAAGCAATTCGGGGAACACTAACTAGATCGTGGATCCGTTTCCGCAAGTAAAAATCGCCTAAGCACACTGCAAAATTCAAGAGAAAATCACGCCATCTCCTGGGGCACATTTTGTAATTTTTCTTTAAAAACCGATACCAAAATGAATAAAACGTCTATGAAACATTTATAAATACATGAAACTGAGATTTCTTTTGAAATTTCTCAATAACCTGTACAATGACTAGAAGGAGAATACAGGAGGTACAGTAAATAAGTCGAACTTCGTATTCAAATCACAATCACGTCTGTATCTTCCCCGAAGAAAGGAGCTTGATGGAGTTGCTTACTCAATTCACCCATCTTTAAAGTGATGACGTCAAAAACCGATTCGACAATATATATTACGGCGCAATGCATCGTGGGAAGACTGCATAATCCTCCGTTGGTTAAAGTCTAATTAATATTATTAAAGTCAATAGTGTTTACGCAAAATAAGCAACAACTTTTTTACGTAGACAAAAGCCAAAAATATTCTGTTATTGAAAGATGGAAAAGAAAAGAGAATTTCGAGTTTGGAAGTGGCACTGCATCTATGACTTGGCCATGTTTTGTTTACCTGTACTAATGATATCCCCACTGTTTAGGTCCTCACAGGACGTCCCAAGTAATTTAGGAAGACAGCTTATTTTCTCGGGCCTCGATAGTTCCGAGAACTCTCTTTCTTTTCCTTTTTCCAAACAGGAAGAACCTTGCTTCATAGCAAAAGCTCTATCCTCACTTGTAGTTTGTCTCTTGGTGGATTCTACTTCCACTATCTTCTCATTCTTGGTGAATGACGCTTTCGAAGACGTCATTGAGCGATCATCACACCAACTAACAATTATCTCCACTGGTCGCACTTCATTGGAAGTTACCTCTTGTATACAAGGCTCTGCTAGCGAAAACAATTTCAGTGATTATTAATTAACAAAATAGAGATTAAAGCAAGTAAAATCTCTCTCTATCTAGAAATTCTTAGAATCACCTCAACAAATACTGGTCATAGCAAGAAAAAGCAGCATGCAAGTCATAAAATTGCTTAACTTATTAAAGTCCCCTTATTGCTAAAATTAATAGAAATATAAACATCAGCTTGTTTCTAAGTATAAAAAAAATATTATTATTATTATTATTATTATTATTATTATTAAAGCCGTTAAGGAAAATAAAGGAAAGTGGTACTGGACCTTTAGGCTCCTTGGCCATGTTATTTCTAGATGTACTGAAGTTCAAATTGTCTTCGCCAGGGTCCTCACAGGACATAACAAATAATTCAGGAAGACTGGTTATTCGCTGAGGCTTCGATAATTCTGAGATCTCTCTTTCTTCTCCTTTATCCAAACAAGAAGAACCTTGCTTTACAACGAAAGAGATTTCATCCCTAGTGATTTGTCCCTTAGTGGACTCTCCTGTTATTATCCTCTCATTCTTGGTGAATAATGCTTTCGAAGAACTCGTCCTTGAAAGATCATTACACTCACCAGTGGACTGCACTTCATTGGCAATTTCGCCGTGTATACAAGGCCCTATCAGCGAAAACAATGTTTACTTAGTGATTATTAATAAAGGGGAGGCAAAGGCAGTAAAATCACTCTCTTCTTTAAAAGTCGTAGAATCACCTTTAGTTAACGGTACTGGTTAGATGTTATGCAAGTCATAAAATTATTCAATGGTTTCAAAAGAATTAAACTAACTGCTTATTGTCAAAGTCAATAGAAATATACATTTCAGGTTTCTTATAAGTAGAATAAAGCCAAAAGGTTTTAAAAGCTGTTAAAGAACAATTTCGAGTTTGGTTGGAAGTTACACTGCTCCTTTAGACTTGGCCGTGGTTTAGTTTACCTTTACTTATGCTATTCTCGTTGTTTAGGTCCTCACAGGACATCTCAAGTAAATCAGCAACACAGCCCAGCGAACTCGATAGTTCTGAGTACTCTCCAGTTTCTCTTCCTTTATCCAAACAAGAAGAACCTTGTTTCACAACAAAACAGATGTCATTCCTCGTGGTTTGTCCTTTGGTTGACTCTCCTTTTATTATCCTCTCATTCTTGGTGAATGATGCTTTCGAAGAACACGTCATTGAAAGATCATTACTCTCACTAGTGATTTGCACTTCACTGGAAATTCCGTCTTGTACACAAGACTCTGCTAGCGCAAAAAAATGAAGTGATTCTTAAAAATGAGGATAAACTAAGAGGAAGAAGAACGATTAACGAAAAAAATTTTCCTTCAAGCATTTCTCTTTTTCCACACTTGATAGTCACAATGTCACAGAAAAATGACAGTTAATTCAGGAGAAATTATTTTCCTCAAACACAACTAATAATAACTAATAACGACGAACATGAACGTGGTGAAAGGAAAACCAGGGAATTTCTGCTCACTGCATGGTAGAAGAAGGAAACGATGACTCTTTGGAGGAGGCTGCTGCAAAGATAGGGGTTGATGGGAGAGGCCCTTTTAGGGCATGTATACAAACCTACCCTTCTTTTCTGAAATTTCAGGCCACCCAGGATCATCGTCACAGGATCCACATGAAGACGTTTCAGCATCAGCAAAGTAATCACTTGAATCATCGTCATCTTCATCTGACTGGTCCAGTCCTACAGGTGACTCATCCTGAGTTGTCACTGCAAAAAAAAAAAAAAGCGTCTATCATTTATTAAAAACCAACGAGAGTTTAACATAAAAAAGAATGAAAATGCAAGTTTATAATGGATGCCGCTAATTGTTTTAAAACTAAAACAGCCAGAAACTACATTATGAGATGTTTTGAGGTGGAAGTCAATCCGGCGTTGCGTTTCGGGACAGTTTAGCGAGAAATGAAAATACAGTTGTTCCAACAAATACAATGTACCAAGAAAGCGACCGCGTTTGAATTGTCGGTATTTACTTGCAGTAGAAAATTATTTTCTTACTGAAGTTGAGGCAAAATCATGAAAATAAATAATAAATTCCGGAAACACTGTCAATTAAAGGGTAAATAAAGTTTGTTCATTTTTAAACGACTGATTTGGTTAAGACTAAAACAACTTTTCCCACTATTCAGCTCTCCCTTTGGGGGACACGTACCTGTATAGTATAAGGCCAATTTCGCAAAGAAGGTGGTCTTCGGCCACAAAAATGATATCGACCGAAACCCTTTTTCGGAGCTAGTTGTTACATATAACTTGTTTGTGAAAGTAAGAAAAAGAATGAAAGAAAACAAAAAACTGCCAGAGGAAAGTCCATCGATGACAGAAACAAGCAAATAATCTTGGAAACAATGGAAAAGAAGGAGGAAGCTGAAAATATATCTTTCAGTTTACTTACAAGATTGTTTCTGCACTGCTTCTAGGAGTTCTAACCAGTCAATAACAGTGGAGTGACCATTTTTATCCAGAGACAGTCTGTAGGTACGATGGAAAGAAACATTGCAAAGTAGTTAAAATTAGTTCACAAAAGTTGTAGCAAGTAAAACAAAAAAAACCTATTTTCAACCAAATGTATGATGTATTTTCAAAGGCGAAATGAGATTTGAGGATAAAGCAAGTTCTTGTGGATATGAGTGACACAGAATGTTAAACATTTTGAAGTCATGCTTCATTAAGTAAGGATGATGCATCAGGCATGTCTTGTGTAAAAGTAGCACAAGTCTTAATTGTGCAGTTTTAGGAAATTATCATACCCGCTTCACGGAGGGATTGTGAAAGGACCCAAACCCCAAGAACGTCCCTCTTTCTTTCTCGCAGATTCTGGAACAAAGTTTTGATTTTTATCTGATTTCTACCCAACCAGAATTAAAGTGACATTGCCATGTTTTGATTTGTTACGCTTAAAACTTACTAAATGAAAAAATATTTTCTATTGTTCTCTTTATTGAGCCAAGCCTTAATATAGGAAGTTTGATCAATAGCTATCAATTCACGCTCGTGCAGTCTAGTCTTATTTTAAACTTTATAGTTGAAGGACATCTGTGAGCAACGAATAAGTCAGCACAGAATTTGATTGTCGGCGAATTTCTGTAATCGTCCATCGTTCTGCTAGTGATAAGCTAGCCGTTGTTCACTCGTCTTGCTTGTTTGGGGCTGAGTCTTATTCCGGTCAAAGAGAGAGAAAGAGTGTCTGGCAAGGTTTCAGATCAAAGATTTGTGAACTCGTGTCTGGCAAACTCTACAAGTGTTTATACATACACAGTTATACGCACCTTGTAACTTCATCTGCGCTTAACGAGTGTCTTTTGGTCCATAACTTTCAAAACAACTGGTACACAGAATGTCACTGATAACACACGTAACGCAAAAGAGTATCGAAGTATGACTGCACAATACATGTCACAAAATCTACCTATTGTAAGCTGTTCCTTCGGGATTTTTTGTGTTTTACATCACCCTAACCATTTCGTACTTGCGGGCGCAAACAATAGAAACGTCATCATCACCTACCGATCCCTCGCGGCCCCTGTTCAAGCAAATCGAGATTTTTTCTATATTGACTGTATGTATATTTCAACTGTAAGTACTTTCCTTAACATACGTGCGAGTTATTAGAGTGCCTCCTCGGGATCTCGCCTTCTGGGCGAAATCCCTGCGGGGGCAATAAACATGAGGGTGACTGATAGTAATATTAGTCACCGTTTGGACACCCACGTGCAATTTTATAAAATACCTGGCATGTACATCTTGAAAGTATCGAGCTAATTCGTCATGGCCATTCTCTCGAGCAACATCCTCAGGCAATGGTGTTTTGTCTTTGTAGGCGTTAAAGACAATTTGACCAGCGGAGGTACTGAAGATCATTTCAATAAATTCTTGAGCATTTGTTTGCGCTGCTGTATAAACCATAAGCTGAAGTAGTTTAACTGACTGTTGCTGCATTTTTTGAACAGAAGAACCTGAAATAAAGATAAAAGCGAGCAGAAAATTATAACATTATGTCCAGTTAAAGAGTCCCGCTTTTTAATATTGAAAGAGCGGGGAGGCTGTAGGGGTTGTTGGTAAACTAGACATAATATTTGCAATAAAGTCGGCGAGCTTCAATATTTCCTGGGGTTGCTAAGGTTTTGAAAAGGTCAATTATTGTGTATGATCGAGGGGGTGTAGATTTTGTTGCTCTGTGTAGAACCTCTTTCCCACACTAGCCTACGTGCGCTAAAAATTGAAATCCGGAATCTAAATCGGGTCAAATTCCTTCCCTTACGACAGGTGACCTTCACTCGTGTCTCGATCCCTTTTTCTGCTGCTAGACCTAAGGACATGGGCTCTAAGACCTAACATGTATAAACACATCACGTCAAGACAAAAACAGCCACGGGCGACACAAGGTCTCAAGCAAAAAAAAGGAACGCGTCCCTTGCTTATAAGCAGACGCTCGAGTTACAAAAGTCAAGTTTGTGAGCGGTCTAAAGAAACGCAAACAGCTTATTTTAAAAGTTACAAATCTTAATTTTTCGCAAATGGTTGAAACACACACAAGAAAGTTTAAACAGGTTTCGCCTCAAGAACATTCACACCATCCACTTGAAAGAGGAAAATGAAACTTTCCCTTCCCCACCTTCGCAAACAAAGATTTTAGCTGATTTTATGCTGTTCAAGCTGCTTGTACGAAACAAGGAACAACCAAACTTTAAATGGAGGAATAACGGAAGGAACAGATTATTCTCCAGTCCCACATATACTCCATTTGACCCCGACTGTCTCGAAAACTTTGTGGTCCACTATATGCAGCCTCCAAGGGAGGAAGCGGGCGTGACGATGCAAAAAGCGGCCGCGTAAGAGAATAAAAGAAAACATAAAACTGTCATCACTGTACCAGCCAGCTATCACCAGGAGAGTCACATGCAGGGACACGGTAAGCCTTTCCTATGTGCCTTTTTCAGAACCTTAAGTGCGGAACGCGGCAGGAGTTGAAGGCAGGCTCCCAGAGATACGAGCCAGCGGAGGTCTCTCACTCCAAATGAAACTCTATAAATTCCTTGTTAGCTGTCGGGAGCATATTTCACTACTTAATGACTTCCGCAATTCGTCGAAATTCTTTCATACAACATTAAGAATACACTGAGTGAAACTCAGTGCTCTGACTATCGAGTGATCACTCTGATATACTGTTTAACAGGTTAATACAACTCAAAATTGTCAATGACGAACTCACGGCCTTATAGAGAAATGTGGGCGTACCACAGATTAGTCTTGAGGAAGGCAAAAGCTTTGATATAGTCAGTAGGAGGAGATTGTGGACAATCCTGGACAAGCTATGAGCATTTAGCCCCACGAGGGCTAGTTCGGCCTCGTCACAGCCGGAAACGACCTCTCCTAGCCCTTCCAAATCAGCAATGGCGCACAACAAAGTGATGTTTATAAGCATGACCTTTAATTTGAGAGGAGTATGAACGACCTGATAAAGATGAAGGGGTGTTTATAAAAATACTAAAACCGCTGGAAGTTTATTTGTCGGCTCTGAATTGGCCTTGCAGCGATTGATGTCATATTTTGCAACTTTTGTTCACCTTTTTATGTCTTAAAGCCAGCCAGTAGAAGACAGAGGTCCTTCAACAGCCCACCTCCTCTAAAGTTTAGCATCCACCAAGCACCCAGCTAAATACAGCCTCCCATGCAAGCGTTTTTAGGGGAGCTAATACAAGCTTCCCCTGCGTGGAACGCTAAGTTGAATAGTGTCCAGCAATTATCGTTCCTGAGGTGTTCCATGACCATTGATGACAGAATGATAATGCAATTGGACAACAGACTGGTAGAGACTAACTGCGCCCTTTCAAGTTTATATTAAATGGTGTGGAGTAACTACAACCATAAAACAGAGTCCTGAGATTAATGATTACAGAGCCGTCACGGTGACGTACCCCTCTTTATGGTTCCGAATCAGGGAATTTAGAGAGACTGTCTCAGTTTACCTTACAGGGACGAGACAAGATTTTGAAAATTTATTTGATATTTGGTCTTACCGTGGCCTGGTAAATTTCCTTTGCCTTTACCATGTGCAATGTTGCTGGTATTTGCTGAGCTTCCGTGGGCAAACTTTGTAGACAACAGGGCAAAATACTTGGATTGGAGCATTGGATCCTCCACCAGCTGTTTGAGCCAGTCTTCAGCATCGTCTATGTATTCAAAGAAGGTAAATCCGAGGTCTTGACCAGAATCTGTGATGACAGTAACTGCTGCTGTGCCAGGCACTTGAGAACCTGAATGTGTTAAAAGGGTACAGTTAAAAGACAAATAAGCAAAATCGGCTCCTGACTGTGCAACATGCTAACACGCAACTAAATTCCTTTGGTAGCCCCTCTCAATAGCCCATTCCAAGTTTACCTGTAGATAGGTTTTTAGCACACTGCGCAACTAGGAGTATTTCTACCATCACCCCGCTTTCATGAAGAAAGACAATGTTTAATCTTGACCCACCCTCCTTTAAATGTCAGGCTAATTGCAATAACCACTGCTAACACCACAAAAATGTATAACGTACCTTTCAAAAAATAAAGAAAGTTCTGAATTTTCGGTGTAATAAAACTCGGACATTAAGTTTTTTGCTGATATAACTTTAAAAAAAAAAAGACCATAAGCTACCACCAGGGTACTCCCACTCTTAAATTCATCTTTTGTGCGCACAGTAGTCCGCATCCGGAAAATGATAAAAAATGTTAAACGACATTAACCCAGATTCACCCAGCAAACGTTGCGTGACTCGATATGATGTACTTCCATTCCAGCGCTTTACGTGATTTACAGCATGCTTTTCCTTTGGATTTCTTTCAGTTACCTGTATTCATACCATGGGGTTTTTGACGTCTCCCTCAAATTTGTACAGGTAATCACGTGATTTCGAGTGCAATTTGGAATAAATAAGCACAAGTAAATTTTTTCAAAGGCTAACAAAATTTCACGAGCCCGTAGCTATAGGGCGAGTGCAATTTGTGGTCTTTGAAAAAATTTACGAGTGCTTATTTATTCCAAATTGTACGAGAAAAATCATGTGATTACTTATTAATAATATTCATGAAAAAAATTGCGAGATAGCTTTAAAATCACGTAAACCACGTGCAAAAATAATTTATTCAAGTGCTGCAATATCATCACACGTGCAGTCAAAACAAAATTATATTTTTCTCGATGTTTTTAAAGTTTACAAGCCGCAGAAACGGGCTAAACAGTTCATGGAATCGTTCAATCTGTATCGGAGACACTTTTGATAAAACGCAATCGCCGTTTGCGAGGGCGAATGGTAGGCGAAGTCTTGTTGTTGAGGTTGAATGTTACATTGCAGTCGGTGAAGGAATTCATCAGCCTAGTCCCTAGGCGTTCTCTCTTGCCCCGTTGTCTCACGGTAGAGTCCAGGATTGACCGAGCCGAGAACGCCTAGGGACTAGGCTGGGAATTCATTACAATCTGCGCTTGTGAACTCATCTTATGAGGAATTACTGCACTTGAAGTACAAGGACCAGGTGTATTGCCCGCTGGCTTCGGTGTGCTGTTCTTTCGTGAGATGGCGCACGAAAGCTGTCGCTGTTCGTCTTCGTCTGCTTCATCGTAGTCATCTAAAGATTGTATATTTCTGTGACCAGTGACTTTTGCAATTGCCGACCTTTAGAGATTCGCCTTCTTCATTTTGCTGACTACTGTTTTACGGGCACTGTGATTGGAAAACCGCTTCTCAGATGTCTCAAGGCTGGTTCCGGAGATGATGCTCTTCATCATGGAGTTGATTTTATTTTCTCCCATGGGCTGTACCTTCTATCAAATTTCGTCGTCGGCTCGTCTGTTGTACTTTATCGAGAGATAAAATGGACCACTCGTCCTCAGATTGGGAGGTCTACGGCTAATGTACTGACGAAATAAAGCAACTGGACATTTTCCTTCCCTGGTCTGAAACATTTTGGGCTGGAACTGTCTTGGCTTTGCACTCAAACCTCCTGGTCTTGTTTTCGTAGGCCCTTCTGCAAACTCAACAAATTCCATGACGTCGTCACGGCTCATGATTCCGAAATCCTCCAGTCTCATTCCGTGGCCTTCTTGCCTTCCACGGAGACCAAAGTGTTGGGTAAGGAGCCACCACATTGTTTGAATTAAAGATTATGGGTTATTATCTCCGAGTTTTCCACTCTTCCAGAGAATTTCTTCTTCCTCCTCTGATACTTGTAGCTTTGTTTGGGCGGTTACCACGGCCAGCCAAGCGAAGCTGTTTCCCTTTGCCTTCCAACACCTGTTTGGACGAACTAAATTCTCGGTCACGTACAATGGACAAGGTGTAGCCTTTGTTCTTTAAGTGTCTGTCAAGCGATGCCATCATTACTTTAAGGCTTTCTGGTTCATAATCTTCACCTTGTTTATTTTTTACTTCGGCGTAGAAATGCTCGAGCAAAGTGTTCATACTTTTCTATTTCATCTGTAATTTTCTTCTCTAAGCACCACTTCTTCCAAACAGAGAGCCAAAAATCGGTGCTTTTAATTTTGCAGTGTTTTCGTTTTTGGAGCAGTTTTTCGATCAGCTTCTCTATAGTTGTTGCGGTCGGAAAGCAAATCTGCTACAAACGCCAGCCATTGCCGCTTTTGCTCGTAACTGGTCCAGAGCGGATCCAAATTTTGTGCCATTCAGATGGAGCACTTGATTGGCTTTCAGTGAGTTCCTTTGTTTATTAACCAATCAGAATGCTTCGTTTGTTACCTCTTTTCTGCACTAAATTACCTTTTTTTCTGCACTCAGTTGCCTTTTTTCTGCACCGTGTTACCAAAAAACTGCATTTCTCTTAGCAAATCACAATCGAGAAATTTTTTCATGTATATTATTAGTATAGGTAATCACATGATTTCCAGTGCAATTTGGAATAAATAAGCACGAGTAAATTTTTCAAAGACTAACAAAAGCGCACGAGCCCGTGCACTTTGTGGTCTTTGAAAAATTTACAAGTGCTTATTTAATCCAAATTGCACGAGAAAAATCATGTAATTACTTATTAATAATAGACACGAAAAACATAACTACGACAACAAATTTTGACAGCGCGCGCGTTTTTAGTTCATTCAACTGATTGGCTGAAACAGACTACTACCTTTGTCAAATTCAAACTTTTTCAAGACCAACGCTTTCACAACCATTCAGCTAAGAACTTGGAAATGTGCAAGGATTTTTTTATATGATCACCAGCCTGTTAAAGATAACTTGGTTTACAACAATCAGCAAAAGTAAGTGTTTTTAAATTCATCCTCGATTATGAGAGCTCGGCGTTTACAAGAAGCGTTTTCAAGAAGTATACTGTCGTTTTTAAATCAGGAGAACGCTTCGAGCAGCCAAAGATGAAAGACACTTGCTAAGGATTTTTAACGACTGTTTATCATTGTCTGTTCCTGAGACCCCATCATAGCTGGATTCGTGGACAAATTTTTGAGATTTAAAACCCGAAAATGAAGGAGGCAATTTGTTTTCTTTCGACGCTACCATCGATGGGTGAGTGGAGCCACAGTTGTTGTGATGTCGGAAACTGTCAGTATTAATATAATATTTGCTTTTTCTCAGCGCTGGAGTTTTCATTATTTTATTTGGGCTACTGCAAGATTCATTGTAGCTCTTCTTCGTCGGCTTCATCGTAGTGACACTGACGATATGTTCTGAACTTACAATCTTTGCTTTCTTCAGCTGACGGTTGTTTTTCTTGCACAATGATTCGTAAACTTTTTTGCCTCTTTCTTTAAGGTCTCGGTAAAGGAAAACGAGGTTCCCACAGAAAAAAATTCTAGTCGCGCGAGTATTTTCGCTACAAAGGCAAGTTATATATCAAATTAAAGCTAAAAGACTAAATTACCTTATAAAAGATTTTATTTCATCGAATTTCAAAAGGGGCTTAAGTTTTTTGTTCTCGAACTCAGAGGTACCGAGTTTACTGCTGAAGCTCCAGCCCTTTCGCGTTGTTAAATATTCACTTCCTTTTTATTGTATCTGATTGACAGATAAAAGACCTAAAAAAGGGTGTGAGGAAATTTGTATATGTCTCGTATTAGCGGAATTATTGCATTTCAAACTAAAAAGTCGAATCTCGAGCGCGATTTACGCAAAGAAACTGACATAAAATGAGTTACAAACGAAAATCGGAAAATTCCTCACACCCTTTTTGAGTCTATATCATTATCCATCATATCTGAAAGTTTCAAAGCGATAGCTTAAAACCTGTCCCGACTGGAGGTCGGAGAATTTTGATTTTTGCGTCTAAAATAGAATGAGAGAAAATCAGCTCTAAAGATTTAGCGCGAAGTCCACGCTTGGCTGGTTAGCTCAGAAAAGGCTCATTTTAGAAGGGTTAAAAAGCACTTTCTGATTTTCTTTTTCTGCCAAAATAAAATTTAGGACCCACTCATGCCAAAAATCCAAAAAAGACAAAATCGAGCAATGTACTAAAATTTTCATTTACCGAGACCTTAAGGCTAGTACCAGCTACGGATACTTTTCATTATGTGAGTTGTGGTATTTTCGCCCATTGGTTTAGTTTGGACCAGAAGTTTAAATTTTCGGTTTCGTTTGCTACTGAGGTAGAAAAAAAAAACAGACCATCACATGGATGTTTTAATAGAGGTCTTCGCTCCACAAAAGACTCAAAGAGAGCAACAAATAACGTACATGACTTGAAATCCCTGTTATTATCATTGAATAATCCTTGTTCATTTAAATGCCTGAAGAGTGTAGCTGTCATGGTTTGCGTGTGGTTGCAACCATTTTTGTTCTTTCTTTTTTTTACTTTAGCGTAGTCTGTTATGAGTAGCCTGTTTTTTAGTTTCTCTGGCTCATTTTCCTCGATTTTGTGGACAGTATTTTTCTCTTAGCAACGCATTTTCAATACATTTATCGAGAAAGACGTACTTTTTACCGTGTTCGGGTTTTTTTGGAATATTTTTTTTAACTTTTCTATTGTTGTTTTGCTTACAAAATTGAATCCCGTCGTCGTCTGCTGAAAACCATGGCCAATTTCTTGAATCTGTGTTGTTAAAACAGCTCTTATCTGATTGGTTCTTGTTGGTTTCTTTTGTGTTTTCAGCCAATCAGAAAGCATCTGTAATTTGCACTCGTGTTACAAGTTTGCACTCGTGTTACACATTTTGCGCTCGTGTTACGGAAGAGCTGCACTCCTTTCTCAGCCAATCAGAATAGAGTAATTTTTTCGTGTATATTATTAACAGTTTAATAATGTTAAAACTGTTCAAGCTTTGATCACTAAACTTGGTGACTTCTCCTAGTATTTATCAGGTGGCATTTTACGTCTTCCTGATGTGATTTCAACATTACAAATCAAGATTTAAGAGTCATGTATAAAAATTCGCATTAATTTTCTAAAAAACCACCTTATTTCTAGATTACCTGATTGTATTATTACCTAACACTTTCTTTGTTAATTCAAAATGCAAATTTCACACTAGCTTTTAACAGTTGTTGAGTTTAATTTACAACAATGTTCCATCCTTTTGGAATTTCATTACCGGCAGTTTTATTTTGCTTCAAAAGCATAATCAGATCAATTTTTATATTACGATTTCATCCATTAATTATTTTGTAAGAAAAATAATAGCATTAAAAAAAATTCAAAATAGCAGATGCAAGATGGTGATTTGACAAAAAATGTTCTCACAGCTTGCAAAGCGGTCACCTTGCTTGGTGGTCAGCAGATAATTGCAGTGAGTTTTTATCACAAAGTGAAATACATTTTAGAGGCGAGAAGCAAACGAGCAGAGAAAATAATTCAATTATTGAAAAAAATAATGTCATATGCCTCCTTGTTTTTCTCGCATGTCGTCTTTGCCCTTAATTGCTACTAAAAAAAATGCAAAACGCACGCGACACCTACTGAAAACGTGTGAATTCTTAACCGACAACAACGTGCGCTGGACTATCGATCGAGTTTATAGTTTTTTTTTTGGCCGGGCGAGGAGCATATTATAGAAGTTATAAAGCTGATAAAAATTACCGAAGAAAATGTCCAATATATCCGAATTAAGTCTATTCAAGAGAGCTTTGTAAACATGAATTTACATACCTGAATAAACACATTCACACTTCATAACAGTGACAACATTTCACTTCGTTTATTACGATCCGTCAACGCCTTAAATTCAAAGTTAAAATTCAAAAAGACCCTAATTAATAAAAAAAATTACATCTATTGCTGAAAGCTCTGTACCTTGAAGCGGCCTTAACTTTTGTTAGGTTTGCGGCAAAATTACTGTATACTCCGGTGACCAACCGCGAATATCGTCTTAAAGGTCCATACGCTGTTCTTTCTTTTCTACCTCTTCTTTTTTGCGTATTATGTGTTGTTATCGTTAACAGTGTATTGAAAAGCAGATTTAGCATTATTTCGGCGCCCGGATTAAGAAAAAGACAAAAACAAAGAAGAAATATGGTAGTACAGTTCGCCGGCCTGAAAATTATCATTCTTCGGGCCGTAATACAGAGCTGAAACTTTGCAGACTTTGATCTATATATTGGCGGGGAAACCGCCAAACTAAGAAATCTGGGTTTTCGACAGTGTTAAACGATCATAATGCCCCTGATTCCAATCTCCTATTCCTCTGTCTCTTGTTGTCGGGCGTTGCCTTCGTCTTCTCCTTCGTTGTTCACGCTGAATTTGAAGTCGGCGTTCTCCCTCCAGAGGAGTTTCGGTGGAAAATCTTCCTGGGCGAGGATTTGGAGGCACTTGTTGTGCTTGTGTGTCATTTGCATGGGAAATTGTTCGTGATTCACCGATGGTAGACTTTGTTTCACAGACGATGAATTGTTGGTTTTCACATGACGTCACTAAAATTCGAACTAAAAAACTATCGATCCTACCGAGATTCTACTTTCACGATGCATTAGAGCAACTGGAAACTAATTTTCATACAAATTTTCGCTTCAAAAGGATGCTTGGTTTTGTGACAGAGTACGCTTGGATTTCTGAGCTTTTGCGTGACGCGGCATTTACATAACGGCCAAGAGAGCTGTCATGTAGGTTAACCGAAAGTGACTTATTTCAGGACATTTTGCTATCTAAACAGTCCATGTATTAGAAAAAGAATTACCTTAACGTTTATGAGTTTCTCGAAGAATAAATTCACGCTTTTGTAGCAAAACTCGGTAACAGATGTTTCTGTTGGTTTCCGTCCGCCATGTTGGAGCTCATCCAGGTGAGCACCAAAAACATTTCTTCGGATATCTCGTATACGAAATATTCCTCTGACCTGAATCTTGGCGAGGGTCTTTGTATATGTACCTCCTTTCATTTCCCAGATTCTGGACTTGATCTATTTTGAATAACGTGACATTGAAAACCAGCAATAAACACATCAAAGTGCGCCTTGGTCATCGGCGGCGAAGTCTGTGTTGCCTGGAAACTCAAAATGCTCCATGACGTCATTGGCGGATACCAAGCATATATTCAGAGAAAGAAAGATTGATTTATGAAGCCTCGAATTTCGCAGCGGGCTGAGACCACGCGCGCGCTTCGCGCGCGACGAGATTATAAAGTCGCCATGACATCGCTACTACTGCAAAATACTATCATAGAGTTGTGAGCCAGCTTTAGGATTTTAACAAACACTATTGAAGTTAAGTTTTTTTCGCCTCATATCCATTTTAGAGAAACAAATGGTGAAATATGGGAAGAGACAAATAACTTAACAATGGGACGTCATAATGACATCACATTGCGATAATCAAATTATGCCTGCCTATATGTTTAAATGATGACGAGTAAAATAGTCTGCAGTGAAATTTGGTGGCCGTTGATTGTGCGCGATTGATACGAACTCAGCCAATCTCTAGCGGGTTATAGTTTCGATTTTCAATGTAACATTCTTTTTGAAGAAAACGTTTCAAGTTACTTACTAGGGACAATACCAGATAGGGTGAAGGGGTTTAACTTGCGTACTGGAACGTTTACTGCTTCAAAGTGTGCTTCTCCTCCCTTTACTTTCTCTGGTAACGCCTCATCCAAAGTTATATTGAACTGGAATCCACCCTGTAAAGAATATCAGTAATAGGTCTGTAAATACATTAGAGCAATATACTATACATGCTTAATTAAAACCTTACATCAATATATAATATATCAAAATTGAATTAGATAAAAATGCTAAACGAGGACAAAGATAGTTTTAGACATTTTATTAAGGTGGCTCGAGTGGATACTGACTTCTATGCTTTAGCATTAACTACGTAGCTATTAACAAAAATATTGTAAAACGCTTACCATGCACAGCTTTATCAGACAAAGACAAGATGACAATTCGTTATGAGCAGTGTTTAATGATGTCATCGCAGTCGTCGTAGCAACCAAATGACACCATTACGCATTTTAGTTGCAGCCGTATTTCTCGGCACTGGGACAAAGAGAGCTTTTTTGGATTATTTTAGAATGAAATTTTAATGGGTGGAAATGCAGTAAAAAAAACAGGACCATCGAATAAAATAGAATAGTTCTTTATTTATACGCGGTAAAATTCATCAGGAGTATAAAAAAAATTAAATAAACCTAATTCATTACCCTAAACAATATGCCGGCACGAAACTAACTACAACTAACCTAACTAAGACCTGTTTTTCATGAATGCCGTGCACACAGTACTTAAAGATCAGAGATTCAGATGAGCCAATCGTTTAAATTGACTTAAAGATTTAGCCTCCCTCATATCATAGGGCAGGTTGTTCCAGAGAACTGCTCTGCTATAACTGAAGCTATTCTTCATGAAGTTAGTTCTCGGGACGGGACAATTAGTTTCTTAACAGAGTCCCTCAGAGAATAGCACATTTCATATCGTTTAACAAATTTAGAGGATAAATATCCCGGAACAAGATCATTTAAAGACTTGTAAAGCATTATAAGGCTTTTTGTATTTGAAACTGAGTGCTCAAGTCTCTCCAATTAAGTCGTCTAATTAAGCGACTGGCATCAGCATCATATATAGAAACGGTTAGAACACGAGCAGCACGGTTCTGAAGCCCCCAGTCAATAAAGTTTTACCACTTTTACCCCAGACAAGATTGCAATAATGGATTTGAGATTGAATTACAGCGTTGTATATACAACGGAGAGTAGATGTTGGAACAAAATCTCTTGCTCCTAACCTAACTCCTAACCCGGAAGTGATCTTTTTAGATAATTTATCGATGTGCGTTTGCCACCGTAGATTTTCATCAGTAAATATTCCATCAGGCACTGAAGCAAGTAGCCATCTTGGGCGATTGTGAGAAAGAAAAACTCCCAGTGCCGCGAAATAAGGCCGCAAGTAATATAGACAAGACGTCATAACGTTGCAATGGCAATTCGGATGTCAGCATAACACTGCTCATAACAATATCCACCTTTGTCTGATAACTGCTGTGTGTTCTCGGCAACGTAGTTAGTGCTTGAACTAGGGATTCATTGCCCCTGAAAAATCCAATCGAGCCACCTTAGCTTAATCCGAGATTGAACTCCCTGGATTTTCAGACGTTGTTTTCTAAATCAGATAGTTGGTGGCTAACTATGGTTAATTTTTATGATAAAAAACAGATACACTGTAGTTGGTGGCTAGCAATCGGATACTTTTTATAATGTCATAGGTAAGATTTTTTATTCTACTGAGTTCGAGGATCACCTTAACAGATCCGGATGAAGGACAGATGCCTTGAACCGCTAGACTCCCCAAAAAATAATAAAATAAAATTCTCCGGTTAGTACAAACTTTTAATACAAAAATAATAGTGGCTTTCTTTAAAACAATGGCTCCGGGAAGAGTAGCTGAGCGTAAATAATACATATACATTAAAAGGAAACTAAAGACAAAATAACCTACAGCCATTCAACATATTATAATAATAAAAGTGTTTTCTAAGCTTTGGAATTGACATAAAAGATATGTGAACATCCCTTTCGCGCAAAATTTTGAACGTACATAATTCTTAATATATGAATCACTGAAATTTACTCTGACTGTCCGTTAGAACCAATGGAAAAATGGCTTCCAGTCTTCTTTTGTCTGGTTAACCTTTTCCCAATGGGGACGGCCGGCGATTAGCGAAAAAACCGTATTTTTTGCACCAATTCCTCTTCTTTGGACTGGTTTTCGGTTCATTAGCATAAGAGTTTTGCAAGAAAAAAGGCATATTTTCCGACTAACTGGAGGTCAGTAAACAGCTTTTTTTTTGCGATCTTTCTCTCTCGCTCTCCTTTTTTTCCTTTGCCTTTCATCTTATTAGCACTTTAGCTGTCCAATTTATGGTCTTTCCTTTGCATGGAATTGTGACAGGCCAACTTTTCAGGAAAGGGACAAATTTAATCTTCAAAGAGTAGTAGGTAAACGGCAAAATTAGCAGTGGGTTTTCGCCTTTTTTCGTGTGTTGAACTCTGTTAGAATTGGTCAGAATATGCATATCTTTGGTGATGTTGTTGTTTACCCATTTATTAACTTAAACTGAAAGCTAAATGGGTCCGGAAAGGAAAATATGCATCGTTCCATATGGAACGGAAACGACCAAAGCAGTCCTTGAAGGGTTGACATTAAATATTGGAATTGCGTCAATTTCACGTTACTAAACTGTTTCCAGCTGAAATTGGCAAATTTGACTTTTTTATGTGGAAAAAGGCCAATTTGAAACAAATTGATAACTTTCTTTAAATTTCTGTATAAATGACATGTTTCTCAAGCAGTGTTTTTGATTTATAGCCTGCAAAGTTGTGATTGATTTTGAAATGATATAGAAACTCGAAAAATAGCCAAACTAGCCCACCTGGCATCGTTTTCATGTTTCTGGCAATAAAAATATACGTGTCCTACCTTTATATTCCCATTAGATAGTCTCAAGGCTCCTGATAAACGTTGACATAACCATTAAGTCACAGTATTCTAATTCTGTGGCATATGGGAAAGTTTTTTTTTTTAATGACGAGAGAAGAAAAATACGATTGGAAATATTTGCATGAGAATAGAACGCCATTTTTAACTTGTGGAATACGTGTAGCGTAAGGAACAAGTTATTGTCGGCACTGCGATATGCAAATGTGTCACTCGGGTGTAGACACCGTTCGTGATTAGTCGGCTCCGCACGAAAGCGCCCGATATCAAAACGACAACTGTCGTGGATCGTTCCCGTTCCGCGATTGCCCAGAACTTTTGTACATTTCACGGGACGTGAAGTTCTCTTCATGTTGACTTTGAAACTTGATTAGCACTATGGCCAACTTTGAGACAGAAGTTTATGAACTTTTCAAGTTTTTTGACTCGTCCAGTCGATAAGCATGACGAAAAGATCAGCAGTTACATTGCTCTTCGACTCCCAAGCTGGTCCAAGCTCATGATTCTGCCGTGACATGCCGTGTCTCACGATTTTTAACTTTTCTCACGACAAGACTCCCAATCTCATGTTATTTAAATAACTGTCATTCTGAAATAAAATGTTTCTTTGTTCATAAAAACGGAAATGTTTACAGCTGCTGAATCACAATTGATTCTCCTTATGTATTAAGCGCCGAAAATTGCAAGCTGTACAACGCCGTCAGCAGGAGACTTCGCGACGGTTTTGCGAGACACTTGTCGGCCATATGTTCTTCACATGCGACGAAATCAGTTAAAGTACCGCTTTTACTGTCAAAACCTTGCTTGTTTTCCCCGAATATATCTTTCAATTCTTCACAAATAAAGCTCTAGCTTCAAACAGCGTCCTCCGGCAGAATTTCATGGGCAAAAATTAAAAATATACAGTGAAACTTCTATTAAACGGACACCTTCGGGACCTTCCCAAGTGTCCGTTTGATAGAGCTTTGTAAAAATTTGGCAATGTTTGTGTTCAGGGGCACCCAACGACGGTGTCCTCCTAAACGCATTGAAAACACTTTTTAGGCTATGCAAAGTACTTTTACATTCTTATCGGCGCTATAAAATTTATATCTCTTCGGTCATCCTAGGGCAACTTGAATCTTTTCGAAATTACCAGATGAGGGCTTCAGTATTACTCTCCCGAAAATTTTAGATGCAGTTTAAAGTTTTTCGAAGGTGGGAATTTTTCTGATTCCTCTTCCCATCGCATTTTCGGATCCGAAAATTTTAAGCTTCCTTTCTTTCTGTGAAAAATAGCTTAATCCGGGGAGTGAAATGCAAAAAATTAAACTCAGAAAATATTAGGGAATTTATTAGATAAGCTTCGCAAATTATACATGAATGGAACGGTCATCTAGAAATTCTTAGCCCTCCTTAAGGTATACAAAATTCTCGGCAATTTTTGCTTCTCCGAACAGATATTTTACAGAAAACAGCCGTTAGGTGCCCCTGCATGTTGTTGAGGAAACTAAGGAAGCTAGGGCAGCTGTACTTTGCGCAAGACTTTTAGGTGAACTTTGTTCAAGGATGCAATTATGCTTATAAAGGGGAAATATGAGACGTTAATTTCGGGACCCGACTTAGTCCGCTTAATAGAGGGTGTACGCTCTGAATAGGCCACTTCCGAGTTCCAAAAACCCTCACTTTCAAAATGAGGCTAGGTGCACAACCTTTCTTGTGAAAATGAGTTTTACTTGCATGAGAATGAAAAACGATTTCCATATGAGCACCTACTCTCGTTTTGAAACAGTGGCCAGGGAGAACTCGGAATGGCCTATTGGGGGTTCGCTTAATAGAGGTTTCACTGTAATTAATTTAGAAGGCTTGCAATTGGAACATTAGCTGTCGTGGTGCAATAGATAACGCGTTGACCTCACACGTCAAAAGTCCGGGGTTCGACTTCCGCTCCGGAGGAGAATGTTTCTTCCTTTTTTTCCGGTCGTTTTGTTTTGTTTTGTTTTGCTTTTTTTTTTAAACATATTTTCATTTTTTGATAGACTTATAATATTCCGATAGACTAGTTGCAGGTTTATTATCAGGTTTCATTTCTAAAATAATTAATTCACAAGTTAGCGATAGGGCCCCTTTGATTATTGGCCAAGGGACAAACCATTATTTTTTGACGGGGGAGGGTGGGGGTAAAAAAATTTGGAAATAAATTGTTTGCAGAGGCTGTAGCGCTGAAAGAAATTGTATGGAAGTAAAAAATGTTTGCAGGAAAACGGAGACACAAAAAATCTGTCTGGATTTGATAAAAGGTGCCTCCAGAAATTTTTAGCAACAGTCTCATTTGAGGCTCGTTCAGTACTTAACCATGATGGTTTGTTTGTTTGTTTTTTTTAATGATCTTTTCAGTACAAAACTCTCCTTAAAAGCTGCAGTGGATCAAAAAACACGTGTTTAATATGCTGTTTACATCTTCCCTACCCCCCGTAGGTCTCCCCCATCTATCATTCCCATAATTCTCTACACTATGACATTTGAAATCAGCGTGCGCGGTAGAAGTTGTTTTCCGTGGTCGGTTAATTTCTAGGTTTTCTTTTTGGCCGCCTGCAGCAAAGTTTTCCGGAAGGCATCATTAAGCCTTATGAAGGAACAAGTCTCACGATTGGCAAAGTCTGCCGTCGTCCAATATGTTACCGTATTTCGTTTCATTTTGGCTAAAACACTGATCTCGGGCTTGAGACGGAAAGGCATCATATTGCTAGCTTTGATGCAGGCGGTGACGAGTCTCTGGCCTCAAAAAGTAGCTTTTAGGAGTCAAAACTATTCGGCGGGAGCAAAATTGATGCTGATTTCTGACCAGGCCAGAGACTTAGTAAAAATTTGTTTTGAAGGCCGGCGTCCATGTGTCCCTTTCAAAACGGCTCGTCTACATCCGGGATCTTGAATAAATCCACTGTGTCAGCAAAGTTTAGATGTGATGATTTATGTGGAGAAAGCGAGAGTTATTGAGAGAGAGAGAGTAATGTGATGATATTTCGCTCGTATCAAGTGTGGAAAGATTGTGTCTGGTTCGTTGTGGATGTTTTATCAGTGCCGCCAACGTGGTTAATTGTGTGATTTCCTGAAGTTGTTGACAGACAGATTTCAGGTATGTCGTGGCGCTCGTGTTATAACAAGCATGAAAACGCTTTGTAAGTGTTTAGTTAAAGTGATTTTGTCTTAGACAACCGATTGTGGGGTCAAGAAAGGTGGATTCTAGGTCTGTTTTAGTCGGGCATCTCGCTATGAGCCTCATAGTTTAAGAGACTGAAAGGATATTATTTCTGTGCTTTAAAATGTTGTTCATTTCGTTACAAATCTGTCGCTTTTGCCCAGAGCAACTTTTCTCGTGTTGCCAGCGATTAATTCGTCCGTTTTAAGCCCTAACTAGCGACTTTCAACTGCTTTTTATTGACCTCAAGGGTCAAATTGTTAAAAAGCACATGTTTTGTGAAAAGTTCCCAAACCCCCCCCCCAGCCTAGTCAAAAAAATGATGGTCCGTCCATAAACCAATTGATTGTTGGGTTCAAAATATTAAACGTATTTAAAAGAACAGTACTTCCAAAAAGATCTCTCAGTAAGGCAGGCACATCATCTGCTGCTCCACAGGAACTGGTTTCTTCTCTATCTTGGACCAGCATTTCTGTGTTACACAACTAAAGAGACAATAAATTTACAATTGAAGCACACGCACACACAAATCCAGCTTATTGTAAGCACTAGCCTGAGTATCAGACCTTCCTAAGGGGCTAGGAGAGAGGAGATTTTAGATGGAGAAGGGGGGAGGGGGAGAAGAGAAAGGAAGGAAGTTTCTCCCCTTCAGCTCTCTCCCTTTTTCGCTTCCATCTTTCCCCTTTTGCCCAGACACGCCTGATACTCAGGCTATGTAAGTACTCAGTCGGAGACAAAATTAGTTTAGACACTGTGCCGTAAAGGGTCTTCCTGACGTTTTGCCAGTAAAAAGGAGGGAAGGGGTGTGGATTGTTTTGTTTTCCGAAATCACCCAATTTGAGGCAAAAAAGAGAAACTTGAGTTCATTACAAAGCAATTGCGATCGCTTTACTTTTCCACATTACTCAGCCCAAGAATGTCTTTTTTTCATCAACGGTTAAACATGGATTTACACTTGGCATTTTAAATGTTCATTACACCCTTTCTGGAACTGGCGTTTATGACCACCGACATTGCTCAGTACAATATACTCATCATTCACAACGTCTTGAAACGATTTGATTGACACGAAGACGTAATATGACGTCATAGCGTTAAATTCATTGACACATGCAATCCAAATTTCATCAATTTTTCCTTTAAGGCCCTGTTTTACACGACGAACTTTTCATGAGCCAAACCTAATACACTGAATTAAGTGCATGAAAAGTTCGGCGTCTGAATCAATTAGGAACGCCTGTTTCAATTTGGCCCGCCTTGCCCGGCGGGAAATTACGCCTTGGGAACGACTTTAGTACCGCTTTGATACAGTCGCCTAACCTAATGCATAAATTATCATAACATATTTTGTAAGCAGTTTGACCGAAATGAGCATTTTTCGCCTTTTGAATTTAGTTTAGCTTAAGATCAGCGTCTGAATAACTTCAACCGCGGTCTAAATAATTTGGGTCGACCTTAATTCGAATTAGGTTCGGCTCACGAAAAGTTCGTCGTCGAAACAGCAATAAGGCGAGAAATACTTCAACAGTAAGGTGTCTTATAAAATTGAAAGTTAGAACGTTTGCAGTGATGAGGGTGGAAAGAAGAGAAATGGACTGCGTAGTTGTCAGAGTGCGCTCGCTAGTATTATATCAGGATGAGGGTAATTTTAGCACGCCAACCTGTGAGTGACATTTCTCTTCTCCCTGTCTAGATATTTGATAAAACAGTTCATGCTGTGTTTTATTTACATATCTTCGGTGTCTGGACATCGGCTGAAACACTCCACTCACCTGTCCAGTATTAGTGTATTATAGTACGGCGGATGAGTGAAAATATTGTGCATTTTACGATAACAGCACGAGACTTTGCACACTAATACTAGAAATCATGGGAAACATTTTATGATTATAGGCAACCAAGATATGACCTGTGTCAGGGGGGGGGGGGAGAGGGGACAGTTTTCGAAATGGGCAGCGGCTATATTGTTTGTACGACAACATGGATCAAATGACTGGGTACAATGTCAAATTTTCATTTTTTGTATTTAAACTTATTGAACTTACACCAAAGCTAATTAAATATGGCATCAAAATATAATTGAAAGTGTCTTTGAGAGTTTGGGCGGTTGTTTCAAGGTTAAAATTATAGATGTGAATGACTCTTACACTACTTTCTCAGCCTTCATTATTCGGAAAACATCTCAAAATTTTACGTTTAAGAATGTACTAACGTTCAGTGATCAAAGGCATAGAGGCTTACACGACACATTGTTGTCTCAGCTACCCGCATGGCGCTGACATCCACCACATTTGCACAACAATGTGCAGGGCAAATTTTCACTTTTACACTTTTGCATCGCGCCGTCCTCTGCAGCCTTTAACGCGTCCACACTTTACGACAGCACGACGTGCCGCACCAGCAGGCGGCAGGTTCGTCCACTTCACTTCCCACTGGGCAGACGCCCTTTCCCGTTTCCAACCGAATTTTTCAGGGCTTGGTAGTTTTGGCGCTTCAAGGAGAGCCTGGCCCCAGACATGACCAGCCTGATATCCTGCTCGAAGGACGTATTGACGTATTGCATGCTTTGTTGGCTATCTGTCTGTCTATCTGTCTATCTGTCTGTCTGTCTGTCTGTCTGTCTATCTATCTATCTATCTATCTGTCTCTCTTCCTGCAAAACCTGACGTTAGCGTCGCACCCGGTGAGTGCATGAAAAGCAGGTAATGCATCGCACTTGTCAGTGTCCAACCTTTACGCCATGTGAGTCGTATCAAGGTACTGGAATGTTTTTCACGTTCCAAATAACACAATGAGCTGTCCAAATGTCAGTTTGTTGGCGGTACTGACAGTGCCAACAGTTCTTACTAAAATTCTCTTGCATCCTTCCTTGGCACCGTCGGCAGCATGATAATCCTGGCCATTTCTTGTCCAGACACCATTCATCTTAGTCATGCCGATGAGTTCTCGGTAAGAGCAACTGCACCTGTCTCCTTTCAGGTAGCAATTGTTCTGCTCATTTTGCAGGCTAGCATATGACTGGCAATGGCTTGTGCGTAGTTGTCGCGGTCAAGGGAATGGAACAGGCACCGAAGTCTTTTCAAAGCCTCTACATGCAAAAGGAAGTTGCCTTTATGGATTGATCTGTCTTAGGCCACTACGTCGTCCAAATCGCTGCTGAGCACAAGTTGCTGGAAATGGGAGTGTGCACTTTGAGCGGCTCTCTGTTGGCACCATTAATCAAACGATGGGGGGTGACATTCTGGCTGGCATGAATGCTTCTTAACATATGATGCCCGCTGAAGCTTGTACAAAGTGCTAGTTGTAATCTGAAGAACACGAGTGGTTTTTTTAACATGCACCGCTTTCAGGAAGGAATTTGGGGTTTTTACTGTGCTATTATAGCTTGCACCTCTGCTGGCGTAAAGCCACTCCCATTCAAAGATCTCCAAGCGATTTTAGCAATGCCATCTTAATGTGTAGACCACCAAGCATTATAACAAAAGACCCCTCCCCGTATTCTTCTGGCCACATCCACTGGATTTTTTTGGCAATTTTGAACAGTGGCTGATCACAAGTGATCACTGGAAATTGCCCTGGATGAACGACTGTCACAGCCTTTCTAACCAAATTCATGGAATGGCAGAGCATTGCTACTGATTTCGAGTCATCCTGGAAGAGAGAAAGAAGAGCAGTGACTACTGCAGGGCCACGGACTGGGGTCGCAGCTTGTTCTCGTCTTCTCGGGTGATATGCTGCAAAATATACGTGCAACTCGGCCTTTCCACTTATCTAGCAGTGCCATAATTTCCTTCACTCAATATCTTGCTCAGGTGATGACATCAGTCATTCTCTTGCGCTACAATCTTACTCCGGATAAGACTGAAGCATGCATGCATCTTCCGTTTAGCAGCACGTTGAATTTTCGTTTTTGTTGCATTTGAGACTGCGTGCTGTGTGAAATTTTGCTCTCTTGCTAACGAATGTTAGCTCCAGTCCATCACAATCGTCCATGCGAGTAAGGTTTTCATCCTCCGGCAAACAAGCAAGGTCATTGAACGCTTGTACCGCTTCAGCGATAGTTTTATATCCGGCTCCTTTAAATCTATGAGCATAGTCTGGCGCTGGAGTTTCTTGCCGGTGTCTTTTTGGCAGATGCGACACTTACTCCAGTCCAACGGCGTGTTGCTTCTATTCTAAATGTCGGCTTCATTTTGTCTCGTACCGAATTATATAAGCCGTCATAACATTTTAAACGGCTAGGAAGGTAGCAACGTGGTGAACAGTACAAAAAAAGACGTAATTATCTTGTACAAAACAGGCATGCGAGAACACTTTCTGCATTCAGCCTTGTAGAAAAGGAACAACAGCAAGTGTAAAATTTTTCTATAAATTGTCGGCTATTCCTGGTACCGGATGTTTTAACATTTTGCTTTTCGTTCCTAAAGAGCATTAAACAATTTTGAAGACTTTTTTGCAATGTCAAGGAAAACAAAAAGAAGGCAACAAAATACTATAATATAATCAGTTTCAATGAGTGTTATAAGCATAGTTTCACCTCAAAATAACAATAATTTTCCCAAAACATTTGAGTATTTTTTAAGAGCAATTCTCTGGAACAGTCAAGCAAAGTACGAAATGACTAAAAATTTTGACTCCTCCTCAAATTTTGAATGTTCTTTTCAGGTATATAGTTTAAAGTATTTTCTAACCAGAACCCAGAGACAGTCAGTCGTGTCGGGAGACAACAAATTCTGTAGTTACTTGCTTCGAAGCGTGTAAAATCGAAAACTCTTAAAGAAGGTACGGAAGCCCTTACCAAACAATATGCTCCTCATGTAATCATGATATCCTAGGGCCAGGAAAAAGTGACGTGTCTAGCTTTAGGCTAAGTGTAATTCCACAGTAAAATAGTATGCATGTATGTTTGTACGTACCCGAAAGCCGAATTCTTTTAAAGAAAAGCGGTCTACTGTGTTTAAATATCTCAAGTCCATGTTCCCAACATTCCGGTGTTCCATATTTTCTAATTAATGTATTTCAAAATATGTTACAAATTTGTATTGGTACAACATTGTTTCACATCCTACGGCGCGAAGCCATAGGAGTTACTTCATGCCCCACCCCCTAGTACTTTACAGAAAAGTGAGGAAAATAAAATGACCTTACCTGCACGGCAGAGCAGGAAGTCAACTTCATCGGAAAAATACTATTCCGAAATTTGCTGAGCCCTTAAGTTTGCAGATTGGTAGAAACATCACGATTACATTCACTAAGAAAGGATAATTTCGTTTCACCCTGTAAGCAAGGCAGATGTAACCTTCGATCAGGAGGTCCTTTACCTCCATTACCTCCGAGAGGTGAGGGGAAAACGATTTTATTTTTACCGGAAATTGGTTTATGTTGTATCGATTAACACCGCTGACCAGGACAGGTTGCATGTTCACGGGGATATCAACGAGTGACTACTAGCCTGCGATCATACCCTCTCCCTTGATCTCTGTAATCTGTTTTCGGGGAGGAGGGCATGATAAAATCCTTTCAAGATCACATGCAAAAAAGCCAGAATCTGGACTTTTTTCTGATTGGATAGGAAACAGAACGGATGATTTGCGCTGTTCCTATTGGCCAAAAATGCCGCCATCCATTAGTTGTTGTTGATTTCAGTCTGCATTTTTGCTTGCCTAATGAGCAGTGAATACAAACGCGAGTTCGTTATGAAATTTCTGCCAGCTTAGTTTTCTTGAATTTGAAGAATGTCTTAATAGAAATTTCATCCATTGAAATATTTTCCATCTCATCGTATCCTAAAAAGTTGATGCCAGCTACAAGTTACAGAAGCGACAAACAGGTTCACGTTTCAAATAATCAATTCACGAATGGAATCTTGACCTGGTTTGACTGTAAAACCTGCGAATTATTCTGAGCGATCTTCGCTTTCACAACACTTTCCAGTTCGTGAAATATGGTGCTTCAGCCAAAATATTTTTTCACTGCTTTAGGCACAGAACGAAGTCAACGAGCTTTTACCAGTAAATTCTTTATTATTTGTAGCTGTTCAATAAAGGCACGGCAGCATCAGCTAGCAGTATTTCATCACAAAAAAAAACACATTTAAAATTTTTTTTAGGATTAGCGCCATCTGAACATGGACGTACTTAAAAATTTCCTTTTCGACTTTTCCCTAAGATTTATTACAAAAGAGACATTTATTTCCGCCACAATTTGATTCCCGTCTGGTAAACGCTGATTGGCTAATAACATGAAAGGTCAAGCAGACGTTAGATTATGTAAATTAGGGGGCGGTTGACGGCTTGTTAAATGAATGTATCAGGCGTTATTTTTTTCGCTCTCCAGCCAAAGAAGCAAAATAAATATATAAATAAATAAATAACGCCTGATCTCAGGTTCGATGACTGCTAGTTCAGCTTTTTAAGCTTTTGGAGTGAGGTTTCGGATTTTAATACGTAGATAATTCCTATGCTTGCCTTAATGACTAAAAAATAATGAGGTTTATCTCTTTTGGAGCGACTGATGGCATCTGATGAAGAAATACGCCGTAAATGCAAAGTGAAAGCGTGCGAGTTTACAAGATGTGGCTTGGCTTGCTTAAAAATCGTAAGGACTTGTGTATGACTTCTATATCACTTAATAACTTGCTGTAAGTGACTGAGTAGACTTACAAAGGCTTACAATGGGAAAGAGCACAACCAGGCACATGCAATGGTTAGAGCAACCGAGTGTTTGTTTAATAATATGCTACGCTACAAGAGGTGAAGAGGAGAAAACCGTAAAGTAAGCCTTTTTTGATCGATATTGTTTACAAAACTGAAAGCCAGTAATAATTTTTTGATCAGAAAATGACTAATATAAGTGCATAATATTCTTCGAAACTGAAGGTAGTTTCAGCGTTTTAGAAATTTTGTTGGCGAGTAGATAGTTAGATTGTCGACTGCGAAGAAGTATACAAAAACTGAAAGAAACAGAAGAGCCCGCCCCGCAGAGATTTTTGCAAACTTAGTAACAAGAATATCTGTGTAAACTGGCTGCTCAGTTTTACCTCTGGAACTGATGTACTTGTGGAGAAATTCAAGGAAAGGATAACCATATTTTAGCCATCAACTCAAATGGCCCAAACTCTTTGTTCCACGCAAATTTGATACAATAAAGAGTAAAAGACATAAATGTGAACTAGAAGATGGTCTTGGGTTGTAGCATTTTAATGGACTTGAGAAACAGAGCTACACATTTTGTATTTTTTACAACAGTTTCTAAGTTCCAAATTAGTTTTTTTGTCACCCAAAAACAATTGGTGTTACCATGACAACAATACGGTAGCAACCCGAACAAAGCGCATTTTTAGACACCCACTCACAGTATGTAATTGCATGCAAAATTTGAGAGGGTCAAAATTTGTCATTTCCCACTTTGCTTGACTGTTACAGAGAATTGCTGTTAAAGGCTTTGGAGTTTTTTTAATGAATGTGCGGCATTTAAAAAAAAAAACAGTTGACTCCCGAAAACTCGAACCCTCGCTAACTTGAACCAAAGTCGATTTCCCCTGGATTTCCTTCTTACATTTACTGTAATTTTACCTTCGGTAACCCAAACCCTTGTTAACTCGAACCTCCCGCTAACTCGAAGTAATATTTGTTTCCCTTCAGATCATTTGTATACAATTCTACCTTTGATAACAAGAACCATGTTTTAAGCGCGAGACAAGGCGGGAAAAAAACGGTGTACTAAAGTCCGAAACAATGAATTAATTTTCAAACAACCGAGTCAATTCTTTGTCTTTACTTTTTTGTCACTCCAGTTCAAATTCAGTGTCGATTACTTTGTTGCTTAATTGCATTCCCTGCCCATCCATTTGCCTATTTCCTTACTTCCGGTTATTCGCTTCAAACTCCCGATAACTCGAACTTTTTTCGATTTCCCTTGAAGGTTCGAGTCATCGGGAGTCGACTGTATTAATTCATCTCAAAGTAATTTTGCATCATTCTGTCATACTAAAGATTCTCGCTGGCAGCCATTTTGAAATCCCCCCTCCCAGGCGAAGGTCATATCCAGATTACGTATAATCTTCAAGGTGGCTCGATACAGTTTTTCAGGCTCATTACCTCCCAAGTTTGAGCATAAACAATGTCGCCAAAAACAAAGATTTTGAAAAATTGCCACCACATTTGTATTAGATAAAGATGAAAATTTGTTACGATCAGGGTTACTACGACATTGGAGTTGTCATAGCAACGAAATGACGCTACTACCTATTTTACTTGCAGCAGTATATCTCGGCAACGGGAACTGTTCTTCTAAAACTTTTGGGCTACTTTAACAACTTAGCGAATGATTTTTAAACCGCTCGATAGATTTTTTTAAAAATTTAATATTCTTGAGATTAACCCTCCTTTTATATGACCTTTTAGTTTCAAGATTATTGATGTATTCTAGGGCAGTAAAATGAGGGCTACAACGCGCCAATATTTTGTCAGAAATTTTGTGTTTACAAGTGAAAGCCTTTCAGTATTTTGGGTATTTTAGATCTTTATGGCGACGTAGGTTATGCTCAAACTTGGGGGGTATTGACCCTGAAAAACTGTATCGAGCCACCTTAAAATGTTCCCCATGATTTATAGAATTAGTTTGCCAAGTTTCATGCTTTTATCATGAAGTGCACAATTACCCTTGAAAAGGGCACTTATCCACTGGACTATTATTCATTCGTGCCTGTGTAATGTACTTTTGGCGTTAATAATAATACTATAATGATTACCGAAAATTTAATTTGCTATTGCACCAAAATAGGAAAAAATAATTGACCTGAGACGAAGGAGGGTTGACATCTGAAGGCAGATCCTGTCCACTCTGAGAATTGAGGATATCTGCACATGGATCCTTTGAAAGATTACTTGGAACAGGTAAACCTCTAAAAACGGGTTCAAAGCCAGTTTCTGAAGACCCTATATGAGCAAAGAAACGTTTTCAATGTGGTATGTGTATTTTGGTAAGAAAATCAGGACTTGGTAAAACCTTATATTTATAATAAAAGTAGACTACAAGGGCTATATAGATGGCAAATGACAAGTCGCTTGCAGTTATGATAACAGACACTTATTAGAAGCAGGGTGGCAAAAAAGAGGGATCATATACCACGATTCAGTACCGATTAAGTATTACCTTTACTAGTTCTAGGATTTTACGAAGAAAACAGGCATATGTAAATTGATATCTGACATTTTCTTACCATGACAAAACGCCAGTAATGCTAGTATTAAAACAAACTTACTGTTTGAATTTCTATAGTTTGTTTCTTATTATAGTTTTATAAGAACAACAAGGCTCAAATTTGCCCGAACTTAAAGACAACCTAAGAACAATTGACGTTCCGCCTTGGGGTGAAAATAAAGCAAAATACAGTTTCTATTCATATTTCATGCCTCGGCCAAAATTTACTGGTTCTTGTAAAAGGGCGCTTATACCAGTAGTCGGTAGCCTACCTGCAAGTTGATAAAGGTTTTCCAGAATATGCAAGAAACGTTTCACTGTCGTTGCGTTATATCTACAAAAAGGATCAATTCAGCTCTTAACTTACCGTCATTAATGCGAAGGCCATCACTTGCTTCAAAACCTGAGTCCGTGAACCTTACTACAGCCAAATCTGATAATTGCGACTGTAAAGGTAATAATCATAAAGAAAAAGGTCTTGTTAGAAGTTTTTACGACGCTTTTCTCCTTCAAAGTCTCGTATACACGTTATCTGGCAAATTCCACGGAAATTCACTTAATTAATGTTTTTCGAAATGTGTTAGTCATGGAGGTATGTATGTTGCGCATTAATTTGGAAAAATTACCATGACATCAAAAACTTAATTACATCAGATTACTTAAATTTACCTAAAAGCTACTTATGGACAAAAAATGAAGGAAATCGATTTTACAACTCTTGCCACTCGATGGTCGATATTTCCTGACCGTCGCTCTTATTCACACACCCGTATTCACGTCAGCACAAATTTATGCAGCAAGCTGCTAGATTTTATAACAGCCAGACAGGCTTAAGTAGGGTCCACCGTTTCCGATGCGGCATGTCTAATTTTCTTTTACAGTCATTTTGTATTATCCGTACCCCCTCTATTATTTGAAACCTGAATTCGTTGACAGTTCATACACTTTCTGTATGAAATAAAAATATAAATTCCTGCATGCATAATTAGCAGTGAGTTTTTAACTACAGTCGAACTTCGGCTAACAGCCACCTCTCTACAACGGCTACTTTTTTTTCGTCCCGGCGGACAAAAAAATCCATACATTGACTCTTGCGTAAAAGCTCTCTACAACCTGAACGGCCACTTTCTTCTGTCCCCAAGGTGGCAGTTGTGGAGAGCTTCAAACGTACAACATCTCATTATTCAGTCAAATTGAACAAAAAAAAAATGGTGAATGGACGATCATATCAAATTCAAGACTGAAACAAAAACGGAGGTGGCAGAAATTACATAACTTTAATATGGAAATTTAAATTACCAGGAAATACATTATTTATTAACTTCATTTCAGTATCTCCTTAGTTCCCGCGTTTATTTATAATAATAATAATAATAATAATAATTTTTTTATGGAGGATATTAAATGCACTGATTTGCTTCTCAAGTTATCATATGAAATCCTCACAATACAACAAACGATGCTTTATTCTTTATTTCAAAAATAAAGGTTTGCAATTGACTACAAAAGGTTTAAACAGTCAGTTGTTTATTTGTATCATTCGTAAACAAGGCCAAGTTATTTCAGTACAAAGAAAGACTTAGACGAAAAAGCCAGAAATAAATCAGTATAAATAGAAAATATATAAACAGGGTAGACTCTTGGTATAAATTTAAGGCAAAAATAACGTAACGAAATTGGCAAACATTAATAAGTAAGATACTACTTTATTTGAGCGTAAACTCTCTCTGTTCTTTGCCGCCGGGAAGGCCGAAACGTAAGGTCGAATTCAGCCACAAAATGTTTTTATGACCTGAGAGCTTTCAAACCCTAGGCATTTGAAAGCATACAGTTTTTCAATTTCCTCGTCTGTTAGGCTATCCAATATCTTAGGCTTGTTTCCCAATCCCTTGGCTGTTAGTTTTCCTTTCTTTTTCGTCTATTGAGACAAAACTGACCACATATACATTCTGTGGTCAGTTTTATTAGGTTCAAAATAACAAAGTTGTAATGAATGCTGTAAATTTTAGGGCAAAACCCGGCAAGTTAAACTAATTTTTGTTCGATCTCTTCATTTGGAACCTTTACTGCAAGCTTTTTTACTTATTTTTTTTAATTAGTTACTGATTTATTTCCTTTTCTGAGAAAAGGGGAGGACAAAGACAAAACGAGTTCATACCTCACCGACGAGTTGTTATTGTTGCTGTAGGTTTTAGACAAAAGCCACCCAGAAAGTTAAAAATTTTTGTGGCAAAGACTTTGAAAGTCAACAGGATATTTGTAAACAACTTTACCTCATAGTCTGATTCTGATGTTCCTACAACTTTGACAGCTTTGTTGATACATGCAGTGTCCATAGCCCAGTTTACCTGTGCATTCACAACAGAACTCTGTATTGGTGGGTGATAACTCTCGCCTACAGTACTGTCGCTGTTGTTGCCTTCACCTTGCTTTTCCTTTACCTCCCAAGGTGCATGCATGAATATATTTTTCCCCACTGTTGCTTGCGCGCATTGAGCTTTTTCCCACTCAGAAGCTGTATGGGAAATAGTTAAGCTGCCCATCTGAGGTAACAATGGTGGAGATACCATTCCCTGAAGGCCTGAATGGGACTGATTTGCCTCAGCACGCATATCAGCAGTTCGCAATAAAGGCTCCCTTGTTTGTGACTTAGACTGTGTCGAAATAAAATTCTGATTTATCCCTGAAAAAAAAACAACAACAACAACAACATAGCGCCCTTGAAACATCCGTATGTCTGTGGGTTAGATGAGACAGAAAATTAAATATTCCAAGGGGCATTGAATGCTATTCACACTAAGATTTATTTTGTCTCCTATCCTAGGAAGGGGAATGGGAAGGAGTTTTGGAGGACTTCAAACACACCCCCCCCCCCCCGGCCCCCCAAACCCATGATAACTACATGTCTACTGCTTTGCGCTTTGATCTTTGACTATTATGATTAGGTTTTGCCATCGTCGGTTTTCATTTGCGGCGTGCAAAATGTTTCCATGTAAATTGCACTAAATTTAAATGATTCGACCCCAAAAAACCTTTCCCCGCAGTCTGTCGGAGTTCTGAAGTGAACTATTAAAGAGTATGCAACAAGTTTGCAAGTAATTTGATACCTAATGCAAGTTTAAGATACACATTTAAATTAAACTTGCAAAATTTTCACTCTTCTAGCAATTTACCGACGGAATGACCAACAGTTTCAATCCTCCCTTCGTTCTTCATTGTCTGTGTCATCTGATCATAGGAGCGTTTCGGTGCTGCCAGTTTTGAACTCGTGGGATACTGTTTGCCCAAACGTTCCTGTTGTAGAATGGCAATATATAGCATGTAAAGGATAAAATATTTTTAGCAAAAAAAGTTGCTATTATATAATCTCCTGGGCCGGGATCATTCAAAGCTGAATTTAGATATACTCAGGGTTAAAGCGAAGTTGAAATTCAAATATGAAAGCCTGAAAAGCACATTCAGTTAAATTCCTTTTGTCTTCGCTTTTGAACAAAATAATTGAAAAAAAAGCCAGGATTATCATTTTTCTTTCTTTCTTTCTTTCTTTTTTTATGTTTTTGTTTCTGGGTCCAGGGTATCACCCAGGGTTAAAAACCAATAATGATGATGATACAATGTATCTCTAGTTAATAAATTAGTCACTAAAATAATAAGTAGCAGCTATAACTACAATTATTTTTTTTTTCAAAGGAATTTTTGATATTACATAATTATTTAATCCAAAATCGAGGTCATTTCTTTTAACCCTTGCTTGGATTCCCCAGTTGTAATAATTATAAAACATTATAGTAAGCAATTCTTACCAGTTAGTTATAAAACCTGTACCTGTGCCTCCAAACGTCACAGGCGACTACTCAAAACGAAACAAAGGATGGTTTTCAAAACGATTCGTTTTAAAGAAGTTTCAATATCGCAAAAAAAATAAGTGCTTACAGGAGGTGTTTTGTAGCAAATATGGAAATATTCGGAACTTATGTATTTTTCATTGAAATACCTCATTGGTAAAAATGTAAAGAACTGAGTTTCCTTTTATTTTCTGCTTTATAAGACGTCCGTCCCAAATACGACGCTCTCCATGGAAGTCTAATCTTGTTCGGTTGTCAGCTGCTCCTGCGCAGTAAAATCTATTTAAGAAAAGAAAACAAAGGACATTTGTTGACCAGAGTAGGGAAAAATAGAAGATAAACCTACATCAAAGCCAGGATTCAAGCTAGGACTCGAGCCAGGACTCCAGTTAGGACTTATCTAATCTTTCTGTAACCAAGCAAAAAATTACATAAGTAAAAATAATTAATGATAAAAAAAAATAAACAAAAGTAAACTAAAAGCAGCGAAAAGGACTCCTAGCCTAACTTGTAACCTCCTCACCCTAACCCTAGCCTTACCCAAACCCTAACCTAATTCGAACCCTAACCCTTTAACCTTACCCTAACACTAACCTTACCCTAACCTTTAACCCCAATCCTCCTCTTAATGGTCATGTGACTTGCAGGAGGTGAAAATGGGGGGAAAGCGAAAACGAATTGCAGAGTCCTGCGTCAAGTCCTGGCTCGGTATACATAGGCATCCTCGTCAGGAGAACTAATACGATTACCATTAAATTCCGATATTTATGTGAACATAGCGTTAGTAGTTTAGTTCTTATCTGGTGATCGCGGGCTAATCTATTTACTAAGCGAAACGAAAATAATCCTGATCTCAATTTAACCTAACATAAACCATTTTTTCCTCATAAAGAATAGATCAAAAGCTTGCTTTTGTAGCTGTTGTTAAATGTTTACAAAAAAAAGTTAACTTGAACCTATGATGCTTAACAAAATGAGATATAAGTCGAATAACAAGTCTGTGGTACTTACGTTCTATTTGCAAGGAGGGGAAAACTCTCCTCTAATATCTGTTTTATGTCCATTTCAGACATTTTCGAAGAAATCTGCACATTTGTTTTAAACTGTCCTTTTTCTGTCTTTTTTAGTTGTGCCATTTCAATAGTATTTGGCATGAACACAACGCCATCCTTTTCTAAAACATCATCCCTTTTAAGGACCACCACATTCTTCCCAGTTGGAGTCCCATGTTTTTTCTTCGGTCGCTTCAGAGGAGGAGTTTCATCAGCGTTTTGTTGAAATACTTGGCAGAGTTGAACAGAATTGGCAACAGGTGTTTGTGCCATGGATGCAACCTGTTTACAGAGATCAATAATATTAATTGAGCTAAAAGAAACCATTAAGGTAGTGGGCATGTATTGCAACCTGCTACCCCCGAAAATATGTACATATGACTTTCGTCATCTGTGTCAACGCAGAAAGCCATACCTCTGTCTGAATTTGCAGTTTCTAAAAAAAGTGATGCCTAGTTTTGAGCATCTCAACTAATGATCCAGCAACAAGCTGAGAAGAACTGGCTGAATTTCTTCTGCATCGTCTGTATTCTCGTCCCCTGAGCCTCCTGGGGGGCTGAGCACGAGGACCTGGAGGCTCTGGGGAAACAGGATTTGAAGTCCTAGTCCCTAATTCATTTGCGATTCAAAAGTAAGTTGGAGGATTCTCTTTTAACAGCTTTGAATCACCTAAATTTACAGTCATTCACACTTCTGCAAGAGCAAGTGAACGCTATTAGAAACGTTTTAGAAAATCAGAAATGACTGGAAGTCCTAAAATCTAGGACTTCAAATCCTGTGTCCTCAGAGCCTCCTGGGCCTCGTGCTCAGTCCCCCAGGAGGCTCTGGGGACGAGAAGGCCTTGTCTGGTTTTGTGCATTCCAAGATTTTGAATACTCTAAGTTAGAGTCTTCTGCAGCATATTCGTTTGCGGTCCTTTGCAATCCTTTGTGGTTAATGTTTGTATTTTATGTATTTTGGGGCCCGTAGATCTATTATAGATCCGAAATTCTGTAATTTTGTGTGGTTCTGTCTATGTTTTTGAGCATGGTTTTGGCCAATCCTTTATATCTTGTTTGCGAGACATCAACTTGAAACATGGACTCTTGCCCTCCTGGAGACACATGATATGGCGTGATTCTGTGGGTGCTGGGAGTTTTAGGTTAGGGCTTGAATCAGAGTGCGCAGGTTTCTTTCTACAGAGCTTTCTCTTGTTGTTACGCCATACTGACGAGCCCCAAAGAGGGCGAAAAAGCTGTCTATGCAACAATCCCGCTCTGTTTTGAGTTCTTTCGGTGTCGTGTCGATGTTTTGTAAAGTTAATTTTCACGTAGTACGATTAGCATTGGAGTATTCTGCTTGCAGAAATTAAATGTCTACTCGCGAGAAACTAATGTTGAGCTGGCGTACTAACTCGCGAGACACAGTCACGGGGATCAGTCAGCCGTTAGCAACTCTCAAAGAGAAAGAGGTCGCGAGGAATTACTTAAGCCGCGTACTTGAATCAAGAAACGAACCTGTTGCCTTTTTTCTCCGTGCGAGCAGTGCGTTGTTCAGCAAAATATCACCTATAAAACAAAAACAAAAAAGGAAGTCAGAGTCAGATCGTCTTTTAGCCGAAATCAGATTTCAATTGGGCCTTCTCGGATCGCGAAATAACTGAGAAAAATATATCCCGAAAGCATCATTAACTTTATAGCTCTCTTAACGCCCTGGTGAAATGGAGCAGGAGGATGAAAGGACTGTTTTATATTGTAAGCGAAACCATAAAATAATTAAAAGCTCGAACTCAATGCATGCAGTCGAGTGAGCTGAGCGGAAGTTACAATTGGAATATGCATGCAGTTGAATTCAACTCAATTACCTTCAAAATCTTATTGAATTAGGGAGCAGTTCCTGTAATCACCCAACAGGATATTCATTGAAGCTCTCAGACGTTTCTGCTAATGAAAAGCCCGTTTGATTTTCCAAGACGAGTGGTTTTATACGTATTTTGAAGAATTCAGATAACGTGACCATTATCTTCACTCACTTTCACTTTTGTTTGTTTTGTTTTGTTTTTTTAAACCTTTGGTCACGGAATAAAGTTTAACTCAAAACAAGCGGGGCCTAGCAATAACATAGAACTTTCTGGAGTATAAGCATCTGCGTATTCAACACATGTACGCGAAAATAGGAGGAAGAGAAATTCTCGCCCAGCTTATTAAATTATCAAATACATACTCTAGTCTGGTTGATCAGGAATCAACTATGTAATAGATGTTCATTTTACATTTAGTTCTCTCTCTCGTTTTCTGGTCGGACTAGAGTTTCGATTACTCGCAACATTGAATCCGAAAGTGACCTGAGCACTTTCGATTTATATTTTACAGTTTCAGGCAGGAAATCATCAAAATTAAGGCTCTATCGATATAAATACTTGGTGCGATTTACCTATAATTCTTATCCAAACACTTTTGTGATTACTTGAAACGCTGAATATATATCGAACAAGATCAAACCCGCGTGCTCTCTCTTAAGCAAAATGTTATTTATAATACTGAATTTCAGCTAAGGGCATTCACTTAGATTACCTTCACAGTGATTAGCCTGAGAAAACAGCCGACATTTCACGACGCCACCACTGGTTTCCCCCGTGAAATGTGTGTTGTTTCAAGCTTATTGAATTGGATAGTTTGAGAGTGACAAACGGGCATGAATGGTGTCGGAAACGTTACATGGAACATGGAATTCAACGCGCGAGAGATCGTGTTGTACGATGCTGTCACGCGACATAGTACAAGCACCACGCAAGTTCGAATTGGTCGGTTTTCATCCCAGAGAAATCGAACTATGATCACACCTGATAACAAAAACAGAAATTTCAAAACGCAGAGTCAAACACTCGGGTTTTAAAGTTCTCTTAAAGCAAAATGTTAGTCATCTGTTCCCTTACTCTTCAGATTAAACATTTGCGGAGCAAGAAGAACTGAATTGTTAATCAGTCCGCAAAAAGTATCGAGAGGGTAAAGCCAATCTCATGCATACCCATTTAAGAAAAACCCCCGTCTCTCCCGGATTTAGGATTCTCTTCACAATAGGGACTCGGCGAAGGAAACCACAAGTAAAGCGAAAGCAAACTAAACCGGCTTTTTGTAACAAGATTTCACTCAATCAGTTGCACTTTCCGGCTGGCTAATTTACCAAGGCGGAAGTAAAAAGTCGAATGAATGAATGAATGAATGATTTTTTTTTTTTGCTTAGTCGTTTCGCAATCATTTAACAGCATGCACGTAGATTACCAACTGCCTTGAATTGATCTACCAGTCCTTAGCACATGAAGCTGCAAACATTTATGTTAAAGAACGGAGTAACATCTCCTTCTAAACATCAGTGCACTGCAGACTTTGCCCTTGATACGCTCATTAAAAAGAGGCTTCAGATCGAAATTCAATAGTTTGTAAGTCTTGTTTATTGGCTTTTCAAGTGACGTATCTTATGGCAACAACAACCGTCGTATAACGCGTTCAACATTTCGAGTGCCCACTGTCCTTCCGGGAACTTACAAGAAAAGAAAACTTACGAGTTTTAAAAAGAAGAGAAGAAGACCCCCTAATATTTTGTTTCCTACAGTAAGTGTTTCAACGTAATTCGTTATACACAATACTTTCGAGTTTGCTCTAAATACTCTTGTGTCGTTTCAAGAGTGCTGGTCTAGGTAGCTACATGTATAAAACAAGTAGAAATGTTGAAAGTGTTTTATGATGCAATCTCGCGACATTGTACTTGTACCACAGGACTTCGAATATAATGTTGGTTGGCTCTCTAGTTACAATGTATTGCGAGTTATGTTTCAAGATCTTCAAAGTTAAACCCCTGAAGTCTTTTACCTCTCTGGTAGAAGCTGTGCTGAAATTTCATTGGTTTCACTCGAGAGGAGTATTAAGCTACTAATATCAGATTTAAATTCCTCCCCTTAACCAGGGCCTCTCCTTTTGATATTAAATCAAATGAAGCCTCCCAAACTTCTTTTTCTCAAATAAATGAGTTAGCACGCCAATAATCTGGACTAGGGCAACAGATATGATGTATTTCAGGGCCGTAGCCAGGAAGAAACTACAACCGAGGCGAACACACGGTCCGTTGTACGAAATCAGCCGTATGAAATCTTCTAATATTATCAGTCTGATAAAAAAAATAAAAATCGACAGTATTTGGCAAAATTTTGCCGAGGCGAGTGCCTCAGTTCGCCTCATACTGGCTACGGCGGTGTATTTACTACAAAAGGTATCTTTCAGCCCAGCTTAGCATGAAACCCCGAGCACTTGTCGATTCCGATACGACTGAAACCTGCCTAGAATCAAATCTCACAAATGTCAATTACCGGAGCGAAGTTGACGAATTTATTTTAACAAAGTTAATATTGATTATATCATGATCCACTGATCTTTGTTCGCTCAAGCTACTCTCTAATCTCCTTTTAACGCTTCAACCCTGCCTTGCCGGGTCAGACTAAAATTTTGACAAAATTTATACGGCCCAACATAATGATCCTGTATGCTCGACAAAAGCGAGCGAACTTCATTTCAAAATAATTCAATAGGTTTTTTGTAGTCACATAACCATGATAAACGGAACAACCATCGAGATCAAGACTTCAACAATTCATTTTCAACCCTTTTAAGGGTGCATATATTTACTGAGAATTCAGATTTGATCACCTTCGGCAACTAGAATTTTGAAATCAGATTGAATAACCAATCGTCGAACGAGGCTCATCAAACGATCGGTATTAAGGTTCTCTAAAACCAAAACGTTATTTATCTTTGGCCGATCAGATTTCCAAATATTTTCTTCAGTCCGTAAGCGGCAATGCGTCGCAGTGATCACCAGACTCCCGACGTGTTTTTTCAAGATTATTGGATAGTTAAGATTGTCAATCGGGTTTAGTGGAACGCGTGAATGATGTCGAAATGTTGAAACAACATGGGATTCAAAAGAGCCACGCACGAGAGAACGTGTTGTACGATGCTATCATACGACGTAGTACACGCACCACGCGATTTCCAATTAGTCGGTTTTCATGTACATGTATTCTTATTTTTTCCCAAGTTTAATTAATTCAGGTTGACGCAGGCAGTCATCAAACCGGAACCACTGTGATTCAACAAACGTTTCCTCGCCAGTTTAAGATGTACCGGTATTCGCTGAGACAAATCAAATTATAATCACAAACAATAACTCCATTAGAAATTAGAAATTTGGCAATTTCGATCTTGAAACGCCAAACCATTAAATTAGATCAAACAGTCGGGTTTGAAGTTCCCTTAAAGCAAAATGTTAATCATGCGTTCCCTATACGAAGTAGAGTTGGTCAGTCAATTCCGCGGGGCATTTACAAAACTATTGAGAGAGTACACTGAGCCAATCTCATGGCCTGGATACCCGTTTGCCC